AAACCTGATGATATATGTGTTTTCCTTTCAAAGATTCATTTGAATTGCTTACTCTTTGTTCATCGATTGGCAGAAGAGTCCAGGACAAATGCGTGTGAGAGTAAGTGTGGAGTCATCAAAAAGGATCATGTTCTGTCTGCAGCAAAGGTAAAATGTAAATTCCTTTTTTTGAGCAAAACTTAAAAATACCACCAGGGCCACCATTTAAAGATTTTTATTTTGAAATACTTGTAGGCTAACACAGAGAATTAATATTTGAGCTCCCATGTACCCTTTATCCAGTTTCTCACAATACTAGCATCTTTTATAACTACAGTCAAACAAAGTTAGGACAGATTATGAGAAATGTACCAGTAAAGAAACTTGTCGAATTAGTTTAATAGCATTTTAGTAATGTATTTGGGTACATAATATATCCAGCATTTTAATTTAGATTTTTATTTCAATTTAAGCACATAATACCTTGTTTTGCAGTACCTGTATTAATATCTTGTAGATCAGAGAGGTGCTGGTAAGGTAATATAAGGATTAAAAGCTTGAAAAGGATTATATGTGTGTGTTTTACATTTTCAGTTTTGTTTTATCTAATTTTTTTTATTACCTTTGTGTTTGTGTACACATGTGCACAGTGCACATATGGAGGTCAGGACAGCTTTCACAGTTGGTTCTGTCCTCTATGTGAGTCCCTGGGATTGAACTCAGGTTGACTGCCTTGCCAGTAAGTGTCTTTACCAGCTGAGCCATCTCATATGTCCTTGGGATCATTTTTACTAATATATATGGAAGCTAAAATCTTTTTTAAAAGTTTTTTTGGAGATAATTTAGGCCTAACCCTGACATCCTTTTTACACCTAAATATCTCCCTTTGTCTTTTTTCTGCAACAGCTTGTTTTGAAAATTGTATATGAAATAAATTGTTCAGTATAAGATGACCAGTCTTGGCCTCCAGCCGGTAAAATTCCAGCTAAACTGTGAGACATTTCTGCTACAGTGAATTTGTATTACTTGGTACTACTTTATGATTATGAAATGCCTGATTTGTGGAGGTTTGAGTTTTGGAATGCTTTTTTTTTTTTTTTTTTGAGACAGGGCCTCCCTGTAGTCACAGCTGCCCTGGATTTACTATGGAGCCAGGCTGGCCTCGAACTCACAGAGATCTGCCTCTCTCTGCCTCCGGAGTGCTGGTATCAAAGGCGTGTGCCACCACACTTGGGGAGTTTAAGAATACTTAAAAAATTTTTTTTTTAAAAATATTTTATTATTTTTATTTTGTGTGTATGAATGTTTTGCCTGCATGCATCTAAGTGCACCCATGTCGTGTGTACCTGTGGAGGTCAGACCATAGTATCAGATCTGCTGGAGTTGGGAGTTATGGATGGTTAACTGCCATGTGGGTGCTGGGAGTTGAATCTGGGTCCTCTGCAGGAGTAGCCAGTGCTCTTAATTACAGAGCCATCTCTCCAACCCAAGTTTTAGAATATTTTTAATACTATAGATCACTAATTTGTTTTAAAAAATACCTCGTTTAAAACTAACAATTTTGATATTTTTGGGTTGAAATTGGAGAGGTTAATGAATGAAAGTGACTATAAAACAAGATTTTGATAATCTAGGCATGTTTTACATTCATTGAGAAAAGTAGACTTGTGCAAGAGAAATCTAGGTCACTTTGAAGACAGATCACTTTTAAGGTAACAGATTCTCTAACCATCTTCCAAAATGGCTTTTTACAGATCAGAGGCTTATGTTTTGTGCTCAAATAGCTATTTAACTTTTTAATAATTGTTTTATTCATAGGAATTATATATATATTTATTTTTATATATATATTTATATATATCTTTATTTTCCTTCCCCCTCCCCCAGGTAATTCTAAAGAAGAGCAGAGGTTAAAAGTCAACACGTCTGAAAATTGTATGATGTGTTATTTAATTGGTAATGTTATAAAGGCACTTCTTATGTATCAGTTTAGATTGTGAATTATTAAAGACATTGACTACAAATGTGTGTATTTTACATTTTATTTTTTAAATTGTTTTAATTAATTTTAAGTGACTCTTAGTTTACTGCTGTGTTGTTGCTGTTGTAAACATTTGATAATCAACAGTGAAATCATACTATATTAAATAGTTTGCAACTCACAAAAGCTACTAGTAACGTGAATGAAGTGGGCCAAAAACTGGCAGCCAAACTTGGGTGTCATTCACATGGCATGCTGGGTTTAGAGGCATGAAAGATGCAAGAGTGATGGGGTCACTGGTTCTTTCTCTGAGGTTTCAGAGAGTGGCTGAGGACAGGCAACATGCAGCCATGACAGACCCTCAAAGACCAAGAGGCCCTTAACAGGTCATTGCATGAAGCTGTGAAGGCGAAGCCTAGTTGGTAGTAGAGACCCCAAGACACTGAAGATGCTAGACCCATGAGATATCTGCCAAGGAGAGCTGCATACATGGAGTGGTACCAATCCAAGTGAGAGATGCATGCAGTAAAGCAGGAGGGGCTGAGCCATCGAAGTCCTTTGAAGGTAAAGTTCCAGAAGTCGAACATGGAGCTACTGGATTTGATATTTGTCCTGGTGATTTTCAGTCTTGTTTTTACTTTTTGGAATGGGAATATGTATCAGTTCCATTGTATGTTGGATGTATGTAATTTATCTTTTGGTTATATAGGACTTAAAGAGATTGCCTTGAATCTGAGAAGAGACTCTGGACTTTGAATAGTATTGAGACTGGTAAAAACTATGGGGACTTTAGAAGGTGGACTAAATGGATTTGCATTTTATATGATTAAGAGCCTGTGGGGGCCAGGGAGTAGAATGTGGTGGTTTAAATGAGAATATTCTCCATAGGCTCCAAGTATTTGGACACTTGGTCCTCATTTGGTTGTGCTGTTTGGGCTTTAGGTGGTGTGGTTTGCTGGAAGCATGTTACTGGGGGTGGGCTTAGAGAGTTCTTAAGCCTTGCCAGATTTCTAGCTGCTCTCTGCTTCTTGTGACTGCTTGAAGATATGATCTCTTGGTTTTCTGCTCCAGCCAGCTCTGTTGTCATGCCTCCCATACCATTTTGAATTCTCCCCTGGAGCCCTAAGCTTAAATAAATTCTTCCTTCTATAAGTTACCTTGGTCTTACTTCTGTCTTATCACAACGACAGAAATGTGGCTAATATACTCTTACAGTATAAACAAGCTCACTGAGCCGTGTTCTCATCTTGTGACCTGGGTACCTGATAGTAATCCCTTAGGACTCCACTTTGCTCTACATCCAAGACAGTAAATGAATATGAGTGTGTTTAGTTACCATATCAAAGAGCTAAAAGCAATGCTTTTCTCATTGAAAATAATGAGAAGAGCTGAGAAGTCTGTCTGTAACTGTGTGTATATGTGATATTTTAGGCCTAGAGATCAAAGGGCATGATTATCTGATGAAATGGGGGTAGCTTTGAGTTCTCCAATTTAAGCTGGAGATACTGTTTGAATAAAAGAATGAGTGAAGCCTGGCTCAAGATCATAGTTCTATGAGACATCTGAAGGAACTGGTAGTTCTCAGGGTTTAGGTCTATTCTTGGCATTACAATGAATACTGAATCGCTGGGCATGGTGACACATGCCTTTAATCCCATCACTTAAGAGGCAGAGGCAGGTGGATCTCTGAGGTCCAGACCAGTCTGGTCTACATAGCGAGTTCCAGGTCAAGCTGGCCTCTTTTTTTTTTTTTTTTTTTTTTTTTTTTTAAAAAAAAAAAAAAAAAAAAAAAAAAAAAAAAAAAAAAAAATAATGCTGAATCAGCCTGCCTCTTTATTTTTTAATATTTTATGTGGCTGAATGTATTGCCTTCATGTAAGTGCACCTGTGTCGTGCAATGCCCATGGAGGTCTGAAGACAGCAAACTAGAACAGTGTGATATATAAATATTCCACTCCACATATCCTTTGTGGGTTACTTGTAATAACCAATACAATATAGATGGTACGAAAATATTCAGGATTGTTTTGAGAATAATGACAAAAGTTATGTGTTTAGTACACATGCCATTTTAAAAATACTTTCAATGTGATTTTGTTTGAATTCCCAGATACAGACTTGTGAATACAGAAGTCTAACAATACCTCCAAGTGTAAGTGGATTAAAATCAATCATCAAACAGTATAGAATGTTTTAAAGGATAAAAAAATTGATGGCATGGCTAGAAGGTATCCATTTTAGTTTTAGAAACAGGCTAAAACCAAAAGGACAAAAAAAATATTTAAAGGTAACCAAAAGAAAGCAGTGTATTTATATCAGGCAAAATAGAGATTTGGTCTAATATTATCTCTAGATACTCAGAAAGTCTATCTAGTGCAAGCCCTGATGCAGGGTCAGGTCAGCAGGAGGTATAGCTGTGGTAAATATATGTGCCCCTAAGTTATTTGAGAACTTAAGGGAAATTTTGACAGATCTGAAGGCAGAAATTGGTAGCACACTAATGAGAAACAGTATCCCACTATTCATGACTTTGTTCAAATTTGGAAAAATGTAACTGATGTATTGTGGAATATTTTTGTTAATACCAAATACATGGTAATAATCTACATTTCATATATTCTCTGTATTAGGGGTCTATATGCAATTTCTATATCTCATCTCAAACCTTAGTTGGAAGAATTCTAGAAAATATGTTTTCTACAATTAAAAGGCTAAGTGGTAGTAGAATAACAATAGTATAATTTAAAACAAAAGGTAATGACAATATCGCAAAAGTTTCTGGATAACGGGACTAAAGGATTCTTTTGTATGTTCTTCCAAGTAACCTGCTATACCTATTTATTGTGAAATTTTAGCTGCACTACAGTCCTGTCAAGTGAAAAATACTCTTGAGCAAGACAGAATTAAGAGTGGAAAGAGTCTTTCAGATGATATGGAATCTTGTTTCCAAATTGGATTATGGTACTTGCCATGTTGGCGAGCTTCCTATATTACCAGCACATGAGGTGTAAGACCTGTCCTTGGAATTTATATTAAGTTACTCAGCTTCAGTTTATAGGGATTAGGAATGTAAAGTTTCTGTTCTTAATCAGATTGGAGTAATCTGGGATTTAGGATGTAGGTTAATCTACAGATAATTTTAAAAATTGAAAATAAGGAAAAGCCAAGTCTAATAGTGTTTATTATAGTTTTTCTTTCAAAAGAAATTTACAAGGCCAGTGAAATGACTCAGCAGGTAAAGAGACTTGCGACCCAGTGATGCAAGCCTGATGATCTGAGTTTGATACTTGAAAGCTATGTAAAGGTAGAAGGAGAGAACCCACTCCACAAAGTTATCCTCTAACTTCCTCATGTGCACCATGGCACAAGTGACAAAAAACAAAAATCTTTACCAAAAAGTAAAGGAAAAACACAGTGATTGTTTCTCCTAGTGGAAATAGAATTTTAGTAACCTGGAAGTCAAACCTAATAAAAGGTTTCTTTTATTTAATTAGACACTGAAAGAGTATATGCCAAAGATTATGCAAATGCATTATATGATAGAAAACCTAAAAAAGAACCTGCAAGGGAATGCATGACTTAAAAGCCATAAAAGCAGGTGAGATTGTTTGCTTATGTGTTGCAATTCATATACATAAGAAAAGTCAGAATACAGTACCAGGTTATGCTAGGTTTTAAGACATTTAAAATATCTGACTACAACAGCAAAGTGAGACCTGGAGAAAACAAAATTCTTAGAGGAGCTGCTTATGTGCAGATATTTAATTTTGAAACAGGAGCTGGGTTTTGAACTGATAGGACTTGATGAGGAAGAAGCATCAATTCCCTAGTCCCACATGGCCAATAGTAAGGTTTCTTTACCAATTCCATGGCCTTCCTGAGTTGTGATGATAGAGTTTTGAGAAGTTAACATGAGGAATACTGTACTACTTGGATATATCAAAACCCTAACATAATTAAGTTTAAAACTTTGAAGTGATTATAACAATACTGAGTCACCTAAGGCCTTTATTTTGTATGATTTATATAAGAGCACTAAAGCAGAAGTTTTACTGATAAGTCTTTCTAAAAATTTTTATTTCGTGTGTGTGTGTGTGTGTGTGTGTGTGTGTGTGTGTGTGTGTGTGTGTGTGTAGGCCAGAAGAGGGCATAGGGTTCCCTGGAGCTGGAGTTATAGGTGGTTGTGAGTCACCTGATAGGTGCTGGGCATGGAACTCAGGTCCTGTACAAAAGCAGCATATGCTATTAGTGGCTGAATTGGCTCCCCAGCCTCTGATAAACTTTCTTAAAGCTCTATTGCATTCAATTATTTTTCTCCTATGCCCTCCTTCATTTCTGATTTTTGTCCTGTGATTTTTGAGGTGATTTTGTTGTTGCTGCTAACTGGCTTGAACCCAGAGCCTTGGGGATACCAGGCAAGCAAGCTACCACTGAGCTAACTTCTCAACTCTTGTGATGGCTAATCCTGGGTGTCAACTTGACTGGATCTGGGATTAATTGAAATGAAAGAGATCTTCTTGATTGGATCATCTGAAGCTGGAAGACACACCCTAAATGTGGGTGTTACCTTCTGATGGCAGCCCATATAAAAGATGAAGGCAGAGGAGAATGCCAGGCTTCTTGCTGCTTGCCTTCTGTCTCGCTGGTGAGTTCGTCTTGCTGCTGTAGACTGAAGACTAGCTGATCTTTTGGAATTTGTCAGACCTACAAGTGCCAGATCAGGTCTACTGAGACATCCAGCCTTGTGGACTGAGCGACTATGGATTCTCAGCCTCCCCAGTGTGGTGCAGCCATTGTTGGACTGCTCGGACTATATCCTGTGAGCTAAGCTGATAAATCTCTCTACATATATATTCATTCTACTGGTTCTGTTTCTTTGGAGAACCCTGACTAATACAACCCTTCTGTAAATTTCTTTTAAAAAAACTATTAAAGTAAGCTTTTCAGGATTGCTATTCAAGCTGGAATCACTTCTTGATTTGTTTGAAGCTGTATAATAGACAAACTGCTGAAAAAATCATATCAAAGAAATATCTTTTAAAAAATTTTATTATGTGTATGAATGTATTGCCTGCATGTATGTAAGTGCAGCAGTGTCATGCAGTGCCCACAGAGGTCAGAAGAAGGCACTGGATCCCCTGGAACTGGAGTTATGGATGGTTGTTAGCCTCCATTAGGTGCTGGGAATCGAACCCTGGTACTCTGCAAGAACAGTTAGTGCGCTTAACCACAGATCCATCTCCAGCTCTTCAAAGAGATATCTTGTGTGAAGTTGGAGAAGTTTTGGCTTGTGTAGCAGGAGGCCTCTAAAGATGGCGTGGACCCAGAGCCCTGGGATTCAGTGAGAATTCACGTCTTGGTCCGCAAATAGCCTGCGAAAAGGAGCCCGTGCCTCCATACCCTGCTCGCGAGCCCAGTGACTGCTGAGAGACTGCAGGCGTGGACCAATCAGAAAACGATATGCTGACTAAAGGGACTTGGGGGTGGAGAAAAGGGAAATATAAGGCCTACCCCCTCCTGCATTATATGAGCCTGCTGTACCTCGCCTAGTGCTTGCTTCTACCCAACTCCCGGAGTCTGTGTGTTGACTCAGTGCCTCTTGCCCCCCTAATTGGCAGGGGACCCCATCCAGGTCAGGGTCTTCACAGCTGGCCTGAGGAGAACCCGCAACACCTGCCCACGGTGTTGGCGACACCCAGAACCTCGGTTCATTTGGTAAGTAAGACCCTGGATTTGTCTGTTTCTTCGGCTGCTTGAGGGTGAGCGAGTAGCCCCCTCCTCTGTCCCCTCCACCCTGTCTGTCATCTTTATTGTTGGACTAGTTTGTTAGATCAGGGAGGCACACTCTGCCACGTGGTCCCAAAGCCCACGTCAGCACCACCCCCTCTCGGTTCATCCCGGTGAGTTCACATAAGGGCTCTTCCACCCAGAACTCAGAGCCCAGGCTACAGGTCACCCTGTTGCCTATCCCAGAGACACTGTGTAAGCATACGGCTGGAGGTGTCATGGCCTCCAGAAGTCCCTCACTGAGCACAAGACATTTGGATCTGATACACCTTTACGTGTTGGCGTGGTTTATATCCGAGTGGCTCACAGTGCTTTTTTGCTTCCTTTGTGCCCTCTTGGTAGTCACCCTTGTCTTCTACTTTTGTGGCG